AGTTGAAGGAACAGATTTACCTTAAAGCACTCAAACTGATTTTTCTCTTCTTTCATAAATGTTAAACGCATGTTTTTGTCCTTAAATAATATCACTAATTCCTGTAAACTAGCCATTACTATAGAAACAATAAATGTATTATCACAAAAGCAAGTGAGTACATTAATGCAAACCTGTAATTTGTATAATAAATTTAGATTTGTAGCGACTATCAAACAATATCATATTTTCAGAAATGGTGCTGACGAAACCAACAACATATTGGCATTTATAAAAAATTCGAATTATTTCAAGCAAGCATGTCACCTGCCTAACTAAAAGCTGACCGCATGCTATCTGACGGCCTGGTGTAGAACACACACGGCCGTGACGTGTAGCAGCGCTGTCACACTCACCCTCAGCACATGTGCACACATCTGCTTCGCACAGTTTGGCGAGCATGGGACTGTCCTTCGGCGCCGTATAGAACACAGAACACTTTCTATCTGTAAAACCAGCACAGACGCATCAGTGAACATTTGCTGCTGTCCAACAGCAGAGTCAGCGCACACAGCAGAGGTGCTTTAATCTTCACTGACCTGGATTGTAATAGTCATAGATGACCGCCGCTGCAGGCTGGACGAGCCCTACAGGAATGATCTGCTCTGTACGGAACCGAACACACGTCTCCTCATCAGTGATCTGCGCAGAAGAACCGTAAGTCAGAGTTTCTGTGGCATATTTGCCTGAATTTGGACAAACAGAACCCTATTTGGGAATACAATATACCAGGTTTGGAGTTGTTTCAAATACAAGCCAGTTATTTACTCCTAGTCAGTACAGTCGGGTGCAAAAGTTTCACACCCTTTGTCTGAATTTAATGACATTTAATGTGAGTTTGTGTTTTCTTAATGAGGATTGTCCTTATTGGAATGTCAGCCTAAACCATGTTGTTGCTTTGTTATTTATTTATTTATTTATTCCCCTGATCTTCTCCTTCCAATTAAGTCTTGGCCAATTCCCACCCACCAGCCAGCTCTCCACTCTCTCGCCGCTCAGAAGTTCCTAAACCTCCTTTTCTATATCTGTAAATGGTTCATATTTTCTGGTTCGTCTTGTGAGAGCTGATTTCCTGATGCACTATTCACATGCTATTCTGCTTTTCCACATTTTGTGGTGTTACAACCTGGAAATGAAGTGGAATGAATGGGGTTTTATGTCATGAAGGTACACAAATAACCCATAACCCATAATATTTAAGTGAGAGGAAAAAGCTTGCAAAATTACTTACAAAATTGTATAAAATAAACTTAGGTTAAGTTTAGGTTAATAAAATTAGGTTGCTGCGAAACCCCTAAATTAGTTCTGGTGAATGCAGTTGCCATCACTAATTTAGTTCAATGGAGTCGACTTGTGTGTAATTAAAGTGTCACATTATCTCAATATAAATCCACCTGTTCATGGAAAGGCCCACAGACCATACCTAAACAAATATCATTAAAACACAAGAAGTTATCAAAACAAGTCCAGGACAATTTTCTGGAAAACTACTAATTAGCATTTGGTTATAAATAATACCCCAAAGTTTGTGCATCCTGCAGAGCTTCATTAAATCCATTGTTAAAAAATGGAAAGAATTTGGCGCAACCCGAGACTCTGCCTAGAGAAGCTCATCCACCAAGCAGTCAGAGACATGAAACCCCTATTAAGTCAAATTAATTTCCAAGTTATAACATTACAAAAGTTCAAGGGGGTGAGTACTTGCATAAAGCACTGCAGACCGTTAACTTTTCAGCAAATTTTTTTTTTATTTTCATGCCTTTAATAAGACTTAACAAATTAATTAATTTATCAATTAATTTATCAATTAAATAAATTAACTAGAGCATGTCAATGCTGGAGGCAAATGTTTGAGCATAATAATAATAATAATAATAATAATAATAATAATAATAATAATAATAATAATAACAATCAGATTCTGTAATATTGAAACCTTAAATATTTAAGCCTTGTTATTTAGCACCATTAAATGAACCATTTTATGTTTTGTAGATTTAAAAAAATAAATAAAGAAAGAAAGAAATAACACAAGTGTTGCTCTATTTCAGTTTCCCACCCAGAACTTTTGTATGAGGGCGTAAAGGACAGTAAAGGCGTAAACAATGACACTATATGACAGTTACCTCATTAAAGTAAAGAAATACTTTGTTGTGGTGAACATCATAATGGTCGATGTATTTCTCTGTGCCCTTCACATTCTACAGAGGAAAACAGGAACGCAAGTAAAAACCAGTACTGGATGATGTAAATGAGTATTGAAAAAGAACTATAATAATTAACGTACATCTTCCAGGTCTTGGATATTTGGTGTGAGTCCAGTCAGGAGTGAGATGTCCACCAGGACCATACCAGTGGACTTTCCCTTTTTCTTGCTATAATGTCAGTATGTGGAAAACAACGCTTAATATTTAAACCATTTTTTCAAAGAAATCGAATCCTGTATGTGTCCTATGTGTGACAGGCTGGTAAAACCCATCACATGGTGGCGTTTTGACATTTTATATATGAACATGTCATGGGTAAAGAGATACAGGTATCCATCCATCCATTCTCTGTACCACTTATCCTACACAGAGTCGCAGGGGAGCCTGGAGCCTGTCCCAGGGAACTCGGGGCACAAGGCGAGGACACCCTGGATGGGGTGCCAACCCATTGCACACACTACAGGCAGTTTGGAAATGCCAATCAATGCATGTCTTTGGACTGGGAGAGGAAACCGGAGTACCTGGAGGAAACCCCCAAAGCACGGGGAGAACATGCAAACTCCACATACACAGGTTGGAGGTGGGATTCAAACCCCAACCCCAGAGGTGCGAGGCAAATAAGAAATGTTAGAAATGCATATAAGAAATGTTATAGGTTAAAGTATGTTGTAGGCAAAAGTTATTTTTCCAAGCCACATTTTTCATCATTTTGGCCAAAATTCAGCAACAGCGACATCTGACAGGTTTTCCCACACTGCCACACTAACCAAATATGTTCAGTGCAACTTTTGTGGCCACTCTCTGATAGATAGATTGATTATTTTAACATTTTTTTTTAGCCAAAATGTTCCCCATAGTATTCATGAATATAAACTTCCACTGAAAAGATGATGATTATGAATCCCCTTGAAAAAGTGTGTTATTGGCCTTGAAACCGTTGCATACCTCACACACACTGTATAAAAGAGTGTGTTTTCTTTCTTTGGTTCCTCTGGAGCTTGTCTCTTCCTCCGGGTGCGTAGATCAAACCAGTCCTGTCTGCTCATGGGTTCCTCTCTCGCCTCATCATTGTCGTAGTTATAGTAATCGTCCAACTTCTCCTCTTCATTTTCATCAGATACTGTAGAAGAAGCAGAGGGTTTAGAATCTGGACAGACTTTATAAACTACCTCAGACCTGTTGAGTTTAAACTGAAATGCTTTTTTCTTTTTTTTTTTGGCTGCTCCCATTAGGGGTCTCCACAGCGGATCACTGGTCCACATATTTGATTTGGCACAGTTTTTACACCAGATGCCCTTCCTGACGCAATCCTCCCCAATTTATCTGGGCTTGGGACTGGCACTGGGAGTGCACTGTCTTGTGTATCCCCAGTGGCTGGGGTTGGTTCCGTGGCCGGGAATCGAACCCAGGCCACAACAGTGAGAACAACAAAGCCTAACCACTAGTCCTCCAGGGACCAAAAGTAACCGGATGCTTACTTGGGCTAATGAGGATAAAGCTTGTCACATGATATGCAATACAAAAGTATAGATAAATTCTGAAAATCTAGATCCATTTTGCCATAATTCTAACCCTTTCTTAGTGTTGGGTAAAGTTTGAGTAAGGCTGATGTCACTTGTCCCTTAAACATTGCTTGGTTCTGTGACAAAATAACTTCATTTCCTGTCTGCAGCCTACATACAAGTAAGGTTCAAGGGTTAAAAAGTGCTCCAAGTTGACTTTAGGACTTAAGGAAGGCCTGTAGTTGCTAAAATGGAGAGTGCTTACACATCACGAGTTCCCCATCCACTTTAACAGTGAGAGCGAAGTGGTCACAGAACGACTCCTCCTTTTTCAGAGATCTGTATGTCTGCACAACCTATAAAAGCACAATGGGTCAAAAAGAAAACAGCAGCCTGAGAGATATTCCATCAAGAACAAACATATTGTATGTAGAGGCTTTAAAAAGAGGCATTACCGATAACGTTCCTTTTCCTCGTCCCTTTACATTCACGACTACGTTGCCCACTTCTTTGACCTACGAAAACATAACAAATAACTCTGATTTGCATGTTGCATACTGATACAGAAATTAAATACATAATGAGAAACAAATTAAACAGACTAAATGGACGTTTCTCTGACTTCGATTGCTGTTTGGGTTAGTGCAGTTTGCTTGTTTAAATGCAGATTCTCCTTGCGCTTGTTGTTCACACACATTTCCACTCTCAGGTCCAGGTCTTCCACGTCGTTGCTCTGTATGCTAAACTTGGACAGAGCCTCAAGGGCAACGACTGTATCCTGAAAAGCAGAGGACTCGGAAATGAGTAAACTGATTAAGATTATTCAGTGAGACATTAGCACCCAACAATTTGTGATCACAAATCTACACTGCACCGGATTAGGGCCAAATGCAATTCTGCATCCGGGACGGATCCGCAGAGCCGGCCCAGTACCGGAGCTGATGTGTTTTACCAAAACAGGTTTAAAACCAGTACAGGATAACAGATAATATTGTTACATCGGGCCCTAACCTTGCGCAGGACCAAATGTTCTTTTTAATATTTGGTCCAAATCTGACACTGATCTGGTTCAGAAGTGATTCAAACTCAAGTAAATACTAATGCCACGCCTGAAACCTACAAAATTATTCATGAAATACCACCAAAATAACAAACAGTATTGTTTATTAAACAAAATTATGATAACTAGTTTTTTTTTTTATTAAAAAAGATACTTTAAAAATACTTAAAGAATAAAACTTTATAATGTGGAATTCTGAATTGGGGTCCCTGGAGGCCTAGTGGTTAGGCCTCGGCACTCTCGCTGCCACAGCCCAGGTTTGATTCCTGGCCAGGGACCCAACCCCGGCCACTGGGGCAGCACATGGCAGTGCACTCCCAGTGCCAGTCCTAAGCCCAGATAAAATTGGGGAGGGTTGCGTCATGAAGGGCATCCCATGTAAAAACTGTGCCAAATCAAATATGCAGACCAGTGAGCCGCTGTGGCGACAGCGGTGATGATCCGGAGCAGCCGAAACAACAACAATGTAGAATTCAATAATCATGATCCTGCTCACTGTAAACACTTTTTATGACCACCATGCAGTCTGCTTTGTTTTCTTTATACAATTTGCTGTATTGTTTTTATACATGTGGCCCACAAGCAATCTGAGCTTTCCCTTAGGGTATAAGCTTGGCAGATTAGTGTGACATTTGATTTCTTCTGCAAGGAAGGAGATATACAGAGCACCTGTGTAGACTGGAATCCTCCTCCATATTTGCGCTGTTCAGTGAGCCAGGTGGCGATTTGTAGAGCTTTGCGTTTGTCCTGCATGGTCACGGCCTGTAGCAAACCGTATGCTGTGGCTTCCACCGAAATGGCATCTGTTTTCTTATCCAAACCCCCTACTTTCCCTCTGACGTCCCAGAAGCAGCGCTCTGAGAGACAGTATAAACAGTGCAAATTTAATAAAGGGATAATTTAACTCATATGGATTTGATACGAATGCAAAATCAGAGTGAGACGCTATAGTGAACCGTAACTGTTATCGCACGTGGCCAAGTCCATCAGCTTCCTGTGAGCTCGCATGGCATCTGGGCCTTGATGATTATTCAGAGACAGAGCGTACGCCGTAATGGCAACAGCGTAGGGGTTTTGTTGTGCATCTAAATGTTCAAGGAGATAAGACCTTGCCTTCTCAATAGTCACTCTCTGAAAACGAGAGAGAGAGAGAGAAATGAATGAAGCGATGCTTACAGGTTCAAACAAATATCTTGTGATCGAGACCCAGCAAAACGGTTAAAAGTGCGGGCCATTTTTACTCTCGCGCAGGTGGAAGCAGAGAGCTAAAGAGATAGCATAGAGCTAATGGGAGTGCTGTTTACTAACTAGCGTGTCGAGGCCTACTTGTTTCTATTTGCAATACATTTTCCTAGACAAAAAAAAAAAAATTACAGCATTTAGCAGACACCCTTATCCACTAGGTCAGGAACTACGAATACGATCTGTCTAAAAACCCTGTTGGGGAGGCTGTAATGGCTTTGCGGCGAAAGTCTTGAGCCTTTTTCAAAGCCGTGGTATTATTTTCAGAAAATAGTCAAAAGTGAAAGTTCTCCTTTTAAACAAAAAAGTTAGCCTAGAGTACTGGGATCTTTATATAATTCATTCATTCATTCTTACAATCTTAATTGCCTCATCTTCTTTAGTGGCCTTCTCACAATGTCGTTAGCACTACAGCTATCCATGTGCATCTGAAGATGGATAAAGCCACCAGGCTGCAGTGTCGACCGTGAAGATGAGCGCCCTGGCTCTACCTCAGGAAAGTGCTTCAGCATGATGGAGTAAGCAAAGATTTATATAAAAAGAGGCGTCTACTTCTGCCTTCCTAGAAGGCATGAACTCCATCTAATTTGAAAAAGCATGTTGAGGTAAGTTTTGCTAAGTTACTAATGTTAACTGCTTATATTGAAGTTAGACTGTTTTCATTGCTAATGCTAGGTTAGACCAGCACTGATACCAGTAACATACATTTGCTGAGCAACAAGTCAAGTTCTAGCTCATGTACTGTACACAAACTGGTTATTTACACGATATGTTACTTTCTGGTAAATTTCATAAGTCGAAAACCTTACTTTTTTACATTTTAATATTTAAGTACACTTAAAAGTAGCAGCTTTTGACTTTCAGTTGATTACACGTTTGGCTGGATACTGACGCTTTTTGACACATTATCTATACTTTATAATTTCTCAGTACTTTTCCACCAGTACTCAGTACTTTTTGTAAGTCTATTGCATTTTTACTTTGGAAGTCTACAGCAAGAAGCCAGTGAAAGAACCGGAATTGTTTCATTTAAAGGATGAATTAAAAAAAATTCAAATAAAATCATGAATGCAGCCAAATATAAGCAGTGCTTTAAAAAAAAAAAAGTTCTAATAAAAACATTTTCTTCCATCATTTAAGAGTCAACAGTAGATGAACAGGAAATGTAGTATCTGCATGTGTTACCAGTTGTGTGTCCATCCCCAATTCATACACAGGCATAGCATGATTCAAGGATATGAGGACATATGCAGTCAAGGGCACGTCATCCTCAGACTGTCCAACTCCACCCTGAGAACACACACATTAAAAGCTCTTTTACTCATTGTATAGAATAAAGAATAAAGTGTTGGATTGTGATGGTTTTTCATCCTCTGAGCTGCTTGTACCTTCATTCCTCTGTCATAGAGAGGATTTGGGTCATCCCATGCTCCATCGGCTTTCTGTTTGGATATCAGATAGGATATGGCCTCCTGAATGTATGAATCTGTAACGTCAATAATGTCCCTTGATCTTGACAGCTCCTTAGCAATGAAGGCAGTGAGCCTGGAGGGCCAATCAGAGAAAAATCAATTCCACATAAAGAACACAATGCTATGTAATGTAATGTAAAAGTGAGTCCATTTGTACCCTAGTAATTACACACACACACACACACACACACACACACACACAAAAAAAAAATTACCAAATGCTGCTGGGTGTTTTCAGAAAAGCCCCGTAGGATCCATCTTCCTTCTTGTATGTGAGGACCCGGGTGTAACCTGTCATATACACAGGCGTTTATTTGTGATGTAACCGAATACAAATGTATTATTCAGAATGAACAGATAGAACAGATGATACAGATGCATTCTGTTTTAAAGCTTTCCAGAAACCAGAAAGGTTCATATCTGTTCGAGATTAGAGGCGTGTATCAGGACTGGGATCCGACACTGGGATGTAACAAAGAAGTCTTGCGAGCACAAGTTTCTACTTTCATGTGGGTGTAAGCTAGTGCATTTACATCCTTACATCCTTAGTAACAGCCTGGTCAGGGTTGTGGCGGTTTAAATTAGGCTAGTAGTCTATTTACATTTTGGGAATTAGCACCAACTAAATTGTTTAGAAAATATCTCCACAAGATACAAACTAAAATAATAACTAGCTAGCAGGAATAAAAAAAAAAAAAAAAGTCCCATGCATATCCCATGCATCACTCCGGTTATGAACTAGAGTGATGTAGTTGAGGTTGAGGAACTGTCTGAGTCAGAACTCTCACACTGCTGTAAGTTCTATCACTGGAGTTTTTCAGTATTTTTCAGTGTGTACAGGGGCAGATACAGATAGTGTCATTGCATTACACAAACACTGTGACAACATCACAAATAGCTCTAATGATTTACAGAACCGTTTCATTAAAGTGACACACACCAGCTTGGATCATGGTTCGAGCCTCCTCTCGGCGCTCAGCCTTCAGGGAGAGCCACTGGTTCGTGGCGTCCAAATAGTTCATGGCATGAATGGCAGGAGACATCTTCACCATGGTCTGTTCTGCACAGCCGGTAGGCAGCTTGATCAACTCGTTCACTCCATCCAGGTTTAGACAGTTATCTACTGATTCTCCCATCACGCCACCTAGAACAGAACACACACACACACACACACACACACACACATACATAGAGCTTTCCAACATGATGATATCATTTCAGTCATTTTGTATCTTATGCTTATTTTTTATTAGTTTCACTACTTTATTTTATTCTTCTTTCTTTATTCTGTGGACTGTATTTTATTCACTATATTTTTTGTTTGTCTGTACATGTCTATTCTCTCTGTCTATCTATACCTCTATCTAGGTCTCTGTTTATCCTGCTCTGTCCATCAATCTCTCCTTGTATCTGTCTGATCAACAATCCACTCTATCTGTCCATCTATCTGTCTGCATGTCTGTCTGTCCACCTCTCTGGCTCAATGTATCTGTCCCTCAGTCTACCAATCAAGCAATCTACCTTTTTACCATTCTCTCCACATATCTGTCTGTCCGTCTCTCTGTCTCTCCATATGTCTGTCCATCTACCTGTCTATCCATTTATCTCATCATCTTTCTGTCTCTCTGTCTGTCTACCCGTTTGTCTGCCTGACTGTACTTGTCAGTGTGTCCACTTTTCTGTCTGTAAAAAGTGTCTGTATATGTCTCTTGTCTATCTGTTAATATAGTATTATATTACCCCTCTGTCTGTCTATCTGTTTGTCTACCTGTCTGTCCATGTAGCTATTCATATATCAATCAATTTATCTGTCTGGCCTTCTGTCTGTCTGTATTTATGACCATCTAACCACCTATGTGTGTGTGTGTGTGTGTGTGTGTGTGTGTGTATGTATGTATGTATGTATGTGTATATGGGGTTAACCC